GCCACGCTACGCGCCACGTCTGCCGGGCTCCTCCCGCATGTCGCTTTGCAATGAATGAGACGCTGACCCCTATTATCATCATCATCGTCATCCATGGACGGACGGCTCGCTGGCGGCAGAACTGATCGACTGAACTGAGCTGACTGACTCGAGCTACGGGCCAACCACCCGTGGGACGATGATTACAGTCAGTAACTTAGGTAGGGGGGTAGTAAGTTGTTTAGGCGAATGGCCGGGTATGCGTGCAGATCGACGACGGGGCGTCTGTCCTCGATCTGTGCGTCAGGGGCCCCGGGGGGAGGGGGGGGGATCTCGAGATCCAGTCGTCGGCCGGATAGTTGACGATTATAAGTGCCTGCATAGAAGTACGCGGTAGATAGTAAGTAGGTAAGTTGAGAGTGGGCAGGCTGAATGCCCTTGGTAAGGCTAAGTACTTACCTACCGTAGGTAGTCAGTCAGGTGGAAGCTGGATACTAGTACCGTAGGTAGCAGTACCTAACTACCTAGCTCACGATACTAGATCGGACTCCTATCGGCGCTCGCTGACATGTGGTTTGCCGTCTTCAATCTATCTATGCGATAAGGTTCCGACCCTGAACTAAGGAGAAGTGGTAGGCAGTAGATTCGGGAATAGGGGCTCGTCTGTCAGCCACGGCGGTCGATCGATCGCGGGAAGCAGCAGATATGTTGCGGCTCGCCAGCTCGGCCAGGAGAGGCAAGAACCACGAGCGAGTTGGGATCTCCGCGCTCTGGGGATCTGCGATGTTATTTATGGCGGTGAGCCTTCATTGGTGCTCGGAGCATATGCCGCTGGCTCCCAAACAATAATGGTATTCCCCCGTTGCTAATCACTTGCGTGAGGCACTTGATGATATGGAATCAGCAAGCATCTGGACGACGGAGGAACCGGCGATATCCCCATATCCCATGTCTCGGTGAGCCAGAGAGATGAGATTTACTCCGAACTGCCGAGGGGGGGAGGCTGAGATCGCCGCTCTGCAGCAACTCACATTGGGTCACGATCGCTTCGCGAGTGCTCACAATGTCATATCATACAACAGCGATATGATATAATGTATAATATAATGTTACTACAATTCCCGTAGTGTTGGCGTGCAGAACTAGAACTCGCAGGGCCCGGAAAGAACACAGGTAAGTAAGCCATCAGATGGTGAAGAAAGACTAACAAAAAGGGGGGCCCGGCGGGGCGGTAGTTGGGACGGGAAGGAATTCATATGCGACGGGTCAAGGGATAGGAAACTGAAAAGTCGATCTTTTCTTAATGCCAACAAGTCCGATGGCCCTCCCCTGGTGAAAGTTCTCTCGAAAGCAGATGGTTATTTGACTCTGTGGTATATGATCCGGGCTCCTAGGGGATTCCAATATCACGACACGGCTCAACGCGTCCTGCCGCACGCGTAAACCAATGACAAATCCCCAGCCCGTCGTCGCCTTCCTTTGATCCGACCTCTCTTTTCTCTGCTGTGCCTTGGTGATGCATGGCCACCGGCTACAGAAGAGCCGCAGGGCTTGCTTACGAGTGCATTTCCTCGAAGATAGCTCGCGATTTAATGTCGCCTGATCGGACGAGGCCAAGTTCTGAGCCTCGGAAACCAGACTGCAAACCTGACATCGAGCTCAACGTAATGAGCCAAGTTGGCCATCGACCGGAAGCTGGTTGCATTGGGGAATCTCGTTATACAACTATTTGCGGCGATCCGTGACCACGAGACTCGATTAGTAATAAAGAGCCTTCTGGCTTCTCGGGGGGCCAGAGTGCGGAGATGTAACAGGGGACAACGCCGTCGTCGACGTTCTGCAGGGCTTCTTCGAGGTTAACTGTGTTGTCTATGATTTCGTTTATCAACACAAGCTCAAGAGGGTTTCGACAACAAGCACATGTATCTCTAAGATGGCCCTCACACCAAGTCTAGCAGAAGGAAAGAGACAGGAACCCATGAATGAATGTGTCAGTCGCTGCGATGCTTGCAGGCCACCACCATCATGACCGTTGGCTTTAAACAGTCTACAGTATGACAGCTAACCTTCCATTCACTTATCTTGCTAGCCGCAGACAGTTAAATCCTTCTTATTCGATATAACAACTCGCGGGATCGCGCTCTAAGGCCCCCGCCGTTCCGTCAACGAAGCTAGCTAGCTCTTCCGCATCCTCTTCCGGCCCGAGACCGCCGCCTCCGCACCGGTATCCACAATATCGGGGCTCAACTCCCGCCGGCTCCGCTTCTTCGGAACCTTTGCCGCCATCGCCGCTGTCGCCGCCGCCGCTGCCGCCATCATATCCTTCTGCCTCTCTTTCTCCTTTCCCTCCACATCCTCCTCAAACTCGGCAGCAGTCTCTGTCCCTTCTTCTGCACCGCCACGGCCGCCGCCGCCGCCGCCGTCGCCGCTTTCGGCGCGGGCCCCGGCCGCGTCGTTGTGCTGCCGCTGCCCCGTCCTCCTCCCCGTGTCGATCGCCAGCAGCACGACGCGTGGGGACGTCTGCTGCGCGCCGCCCGCGCCGCACGCGTCGACGGCGAACTCGACGCCGCCGTGGCGGCGCACCTGCACGTGCGGCGACGGCGCGACGTCGCGCGCCTGGATCACGTGCATGGGCGCCGGCGGCGCTGCCGCTTCTGCCGTCCCGGAGGAGATCCCGGAGGTCCTGGAGGACCGCCAGGGTGGAGCTCTGGGCACGGTCGTCGGCCTCGCGTCGGTGTCGGTGGTGGTGTCGGTGTCGGTGGTGGTGGCGGTGGTTGTGACGGCGACGAGGGCGTCGTCAAGGCCGCAGAAACGGCACCCGACTGATAGGGCTCCGCTGAAGGGACAGTCGGCGTGCGGCGGCGGCGGAGGAGGGGTGGAGAGTGGGGAGGAGAAGGCGGCCTGGAGCGAGGTGGTAAGTTAAGTGTGCGTACGTTATAGGCATAGGGTTTACATCGCTTCGGAACGAGGAAAGGGAAATATACCTTAGAATGTGTACTGGCTTCTCGACTTGGCCGAGTCGACGCGGAATGCACCATGTCGACTATCGTACTCAGAAACACCTCTGCCGCCTGGTCGAGCCCGAGGCTGCGACGTAGCTCAGCAATGTCGCCTGGCCGCGATGAGTTGAGACCAGGTTGCGATTCTGTGTTGGCTTTGTACTCTGCGACATCTCCGAGTAGGAAAGGGTGGTCCGGACCGCTTGTGTTGCACCGAGCCGCCTCGGCATCTGCCTGCACGGTTTCGACCTTCTCGGTTGCTCTCTTGTCCTTAGTCCTCCTCGAGGGCTGCACTCTGGTGGGGAGTGTCACCGCTTTACCAGATTTCCGAGATTTCGCCGTGGTATTGCTGGACTGGGCCTCGTACCAATCGAGGTAACGATTCTCCCATACGTAGAGCCGGGCACACTCTAGGAAGAAATGGGCGGGACAGTAGGCCTGGTACGTAAGGGGAGGATATGGCTGTAACCATGGCTGTAGGCCGAATTCGGCCCCATTGTTCGCCTTCCCAATAAGATGCAGAAAAGTTGACAGCTCGTCCAAACTGCCGTACTCATGTGCCCGGCTCCCCTTCTTTCGTGGTTTCGAAGACGGCATTCTACTACTCCGAGATTTCAAGAATCAAGTGAAACTAGATTGAGACTATAAGGGCTTTTGATAATCCCCAGTACGTTACTCGAACTGCTTTGAACTAGTATTTCTTGCAAGGACTAAGCACGACTTCGGTACTGGATTATATGGTAGGAGGGGGCCCTTTGTAGCCACAATGAAACTTGAGACAATTCCCCACGTGTAGATTATTGTAGGACCATGTAACAGCCACCGGAACCGTCTTCGTGTTTCTAGGCAAACAACTACAAAGGACGTTTGTTTCGCTAAATTGGTGGGCATCGCGCAAACCAGCCATAAAGTGTCTCCCGCAACTCGACCGTCAGGGTTTGTTTCCTGGAATTTGAAACGGAGACATACAATATAGGTGCTCCCAAGGGTCAGTCATCATGTTTGCCCAGATTGGGTTGACATACTCCTCAAACTGTCCGTAATAGTCTTGAAGCCGAGCCGGCTCGTCTTCACCCCGTATTGACAATATCTTTTCGAAACATTTGATTTTATCATGACTGCAACGGCAAACAGAGACAACATTGGACTTTTCAGAAACCAATAGCCTTATCAGGTGCCGGTAGGATGAGAAGTCTGAGCGCACAGAAGGGCATCAGTCATTCGTAAACTATAACTAGTGATCCGTCTACTTCCGAGATTACGATACACCTTCACTTTTCTCTAGAGACGCCATCAGGTTGGTGGCCATGTCCTAACTATCGCGTTCATGTTCAACCTCTCGGTGTCCTCACAGATTAGAAATTTAACTTGCTCTTCACTCTATTCTAGCCATAGAAATCTATTAAACCCACATGGCATAGAAAAGTAGTCAGATACCTGACGGATAGTCTATCTCTGTTTCATGCACTCTTACTTATATCTCCTTTACGACTCCCCACGACCTGGACTGCTCAGCTTATCCTCAGGGTACGGTGTTCCACAATGCCCCGGCGGGCCAGCGTTGATGCCGAGGGCAACGACTGCGATAACGGACAGCAGTCCTGGACACAGGAGGGGCGCACTTGGGATGAAGTACAACTTGTCTCTTTGAAAATTGTTAGGCAGCATCATCAAGCCGAAGTTCACTGGCCAACTTCCCGGATCAGCCTCTGACGATGCTCCCCAACAGCTCAAATCCTCGGGGCGATCAAGCTGACTTCCAGCAGCACGACATCATATCTCTAGAGAGGCTATACACTCTATTCGCCTCAATCCACCATATGTAGACTTCACATCCACAGGATATAAGTCGACCCGCAAAGAGTTAGGAATTCACAATTGAATTCTTATCGTCCCTGTAACACACCTGACCATTGAGCCCTGAGCTGCTTACGTATGTCTAAGGTACGTATTACTATATCATTACAGCGAGCATTTCGTGCCGTGTATAGTACAAAAAGATAAGAGCATGAAAGGCAAAAAAGTCGCGATCCAGAATTGAACTGGAGACCTTCGGAATTCAGAGCGTTCTGCAGTCCGCTGCTCTACCACTGAGCTACCGCGACAGTGACTAAGCATAGAAAATAATTGCCTTATTCTCTGCTAAGTTAGTGGCTTTAGCCGCTGCCAGGGGTTAGAAATCTCGACTGGGGCTTGAGTCTAGCTTCGCAACTCGCTAATAAGAGACCTGCAGTTCTTAGGCAGTCAAGTACTTTACGGGATGCCTACAATGGACTACGGAATACTCCGTACGGATTATGAATTACGAACCCCGCGGTCAAACATTTAGGCATGGTCAGGGCCTCGCCCATACATGATCAGCGAGTTCACAACATTGACCACCGCAGCAAGAGTCAGAGCGCTGTGCGAGTAATTGTGAATCGTGCAGTGATTCAGAACTGTGAGCAGGCTTAGCTGCGAAGCGGTGTGCCTTAACAGCCACCGAAGAGGTACGGTAAGCATGTCGTATGACGGCCACGGCTCTTACTGCTTGCTGGCGGTTCGTCAGGGACGCAGGAACATAGAAATGTACACCAAATTAGCTGTTGAGGCATGTACCGGGACTACAGGCGATGGAAGCCCCGGGAAGTGCATTCATGTCTGACTGCGAGATCGGAAGCAATTTGGGTCTTGGTCGCTGGTGCATGGGGATCCGTTTTGAGGGTCATGTTGCCTGCTGAGTCTGCGCATTGGCATGAGATCTAGGTTGCGACTCTACTTGATGTCGGTATGTAGCTGACTATGCCTAAAGGCTTGGTTAGACAGCAATTCCTAGAAGATAGGCATTTCGGCATGCCTTTTCACATTGCTTGAAGAGGACCTTGTTGGACACCCTGGCGACCATCTTGCCGGGTCCTATAAGACCGGCGCACATCTTGTGCCGGACATTTCGCTGAGGAGGGGCGCTCTTCCCTCCCAACCTCCATGAGGAAAGCCGGCACCTCATAACGTCGCAACTTGCTCACACTGGTCGTGAAAGAAATGGAATCATGAAGCTCCAAGTTGGAGGCACCGAGCCCTCGCAAGAATGCAGCCCTTATCCAGGTTCAGCTGCCGCTTGGCGTAAGCCTCGCTATCCAGGTGCGTCGGCAGAAGACGGCGAAGGCAGTGGAGAGCACTCTTGGGGGCTTCGAATCTTCCTCTCTGGAACGGAAGCATACAGCCCATGGTTGGAATCCAAGGATGCCAACAAGCACAGGACTCCCCTCGCCTATGACACTAACCTCTCGATAGTCCTCGACAGACGCCATCAAGTGACAACTCTCATCAGCCTTGGTCGGATCAGGCTCGGCTCCCGTTGACTCGGCAAATTCCATTGGACCCATCCCTGTCGACCGGCGGAACCGGCCGACGACAGCCGTCCACGACTCCAACCAGTGGCATCAGCTGTGTGACGCTCCCGCATGCACGACCCAGAGTCGTGAGCAATGGCAACCGATAATCTTACAAACCACAACACGAGCCATGGGGTACGTGGCGTGGGAGACCCAGGCCTAGCCCTGAGCCTGCCTGCCGGATGCCTGATACCCATGCCGGCCTGAGCTGTGGCACGAGGGTTGACTCAGAGCTTCGCCCCGGCGTCGACTCTGTGATTTGGGGGTCCATGACTGTGATAGGGAAGCACCTGTGATGGGCTGACACGGTAGCTGCTGAGGGCCCCGGAATGCGGGACGGTCTGGCTGTGTTGGCGAGCAATCAATGGGATCTGCGCGGTCCGTCCCCGGGCTCGCCAGGTTTCCAGAATCCGGGGGGATGCTATCAGCAGCTACGAGCTGGAGGCAATGCAGACGAATGGGAGAGGGGCCAGAGCCCGCGCTGGCACTGCCTATCGAGATTCTGAGCACATGGAGCGACGGGGCAGCGTGGTCATCGAGGACCAGGCGATATGACCGTCCTCGGATCGGCAGATGGTTCTCGACCAGGACTATATCTTCCAGATCTTACGGAGTACATCGCCTCGGCAGGGAACATGGCAGGGGAGATGCCAGCATTGACAGAACATGGAAGATGGAAGATAGCAGAGCCGAGAAGGAGCCAGGGATGAGGGCAAACGAGACGGACAGTGTGGGGGCGGGTCGGACGCCGGAAACGGGCCAGGAGCGCAAGAGGGCGAACGACGGGCTCGCTGCTTCGAACCGATGTGCCGGTGGCCGGCGACAGGGTGGCACCTCTCGGGGCAATGCATTATCGATGAGGGGCCCTGGCCATGTCCGTCATCATGGCCTCCTTCCTGACTGCCTGCATTGTCCAGGCTGTCTCAGATCATGGCACGAGGACCACAAGAGACGACAGTCCAGGGATATAAGCCGGGGACAAAGAAGGGAACTCGTCGACGACGCACAATATCGCAGCTGGAGAGTTCATCCGAGACAGCGACATGCTCTTGCTAAGCTGACCGAGCCAGGAAGGGCGACGAAGGGGAGCCAGATACTGCTCACCGGTGCTTGCTGGCTGCCAGCTAGCCTGGCTGACAAACAGCACCGGGTCCCTTCCACGACAGCCACGACACCCTCTTCTCCGGACCAGCATGCCGGGGCGCAGTCGACTGTCTGGATCGACTGTCTGGGTCGACTGTCTGGGGGTGGGCGGCGGGCGAATGAGAGGCGGGCAAACCCGGGACGGTTGATGTCACACGTGCCACGCCGCGGTGCTGTTCGCGGATAGGATGCGCGACTTGTGCGGGCTGCATGGCCATGGGAGCATGGGCGGGCATGTCAGGCTGGCCAGTGGCCACATGCATTGTTGCCTCGCAGTGGACAGTGGATCGTTTCTAATCGAGGACCGAGGAAGATGAAGGAAGATGGTAGGATGGTGGGGATCGCGGGGCAGGGAGGGAGGCGCACGCACAAACTGCGCAACCGCACAAACCACGCAGCGCGACGGCGGCCCCTCTTTGGTCTGATTGGACGGGCCGGGTCCGGACGGGTCTCGTCGGCCCATGTATATAAGGGTCCGATCTGGTCCCCATCAACAACTCCCCTCGGCCTCTTCTTCTCGACATCGCGACAAGACAAGTTCATCTACAGACCTACAGAAAACACCTGCTTCTACACACACACACCAGTCTACCCAGACATCCCCACCACAACCATCAACATGGGCGAGTGCAACTGCTCCGGCGACTCTGGCTGTAAGTCATCCTCACACTCCGTGGTACCTACCCCGCTATCGCCGGATCCCCTTACCCCGCCCCCGACGACATCTGACCTGCCTTCAACCCTCTCCGTCCTGCGTCTTGCGCCCATTTCCATATATGAGTTCTGCGTGCGGGCTATATCAGTGCTGACCTCGCCTCTCGTCACAGGCAACTGCGGCTCCAGCTGCAGCTGCGGAAAATAAGCCATCCCAGCATGATCTATCCGAAATCACCCCGGCAAAGATGACCGCTTTCCATCGACTTTCCCATCAACTTGCTTTACCTTTCATTGGACATAGTTCGATATCGTTCGCCATGGTACACGCCTAGCATGAGTTCGCTCTTATCCGACCGGTCTGCGAGAGCTTGGGGGGTTGGTAGAACGGGGCAAGGCTTGGAGTAAACAGTCATTACTACTTAGCAATTTCACACTTTGACCCGGGCTTCCTGACGTCTTCTGTGATTCGCTTCTAGTTTTCACGGTCGCTCTCCACTTGACCACACGAATTCTTCAACCTGTGAACCCAGTTAGATTTCACCCTTACTCGTTATCAAGCTTCGGTGTTTTCAACAACCACTGACACTCAGGAATCCGACAATTTCCGTTACGAAATTCGCACATCTAGCGTCAGGAAACACACATCGTACAAAAGCATGAGCAATATGTTGTATCACAAGTCTCGTCACCACGTCCACCTTTTGAAGGTGGGACAATGTCTCATCAGTGTTTCAATTACCTTCGCTCCCGTTCCAGAGCTTTTGGGTCTCGACAATGATGCGGTGCTCTCGCATGGCTAGCCACTTGCGTTATCCTTGGCCCGTACATAAACTTTTGTGGTCCGGACGCAGAAGGACGCGTGATGCCACCATAGAAAGTTTATGAGGAGATTGTTTTGCGTGTTTAAGGCAGAAATCGATGTACCCTCTTATTCGATACCTTGTGGCAGCATCGCTGTAAAAATAACAGTTTAATACCATTAAAAACAGCCCATCCCGGCATCGTCAAACCATATCATAAGGTATCTATGAAGGTCAAGGCTCGAAGATGACAAGCCTGCATAGAAATGACAAAGTAATCAGGTGGATTGATACCTGGGGTTTAGGTCTCAATATTTAATGTCGCAAAGGCCACCTCTTTGACTCACATAGAGTATAACTTGGATCGATCAATAGAACTGGGATATTTTCCTTTTTGTCAAAAGAAAAGAAGACAGGAAGGGGACTACGTGCTGTACGCTATTTTGCAAGGGAAACCCCCGGCACCATAGGTAAAACTGGTTGCAGCGTGGTTCTCTGTGACATGCAGGTAACCGGACAACACAGCAACTCTGACAGGGACGACCAGGCTGTAGGGTAAGTACCTTACTGATCAAGACAAAAAAAAACGGTCATTTGATTGAAGACACTGTCCCAAATGGCCAAAATCAAATTTCTTTTGATCCTGCTTCCTGCCCGTATCAAATCTGTCTGCAGCTTGAACCTAGAAAAGTATTTAAATCAGTGAGAAACTTCCTAGTAGCTCTTACACGCCAAGCTACCCAGCACGTGGTAGATCCCAGGTCATAGTGATTAAGAAGAATATAGAAATCTGACACTATTAAATTGCCAGCCAAGAAACCATCCTAGCTATAATATGACGTCCAGCTGCTATTAGTCCCAAAGCTTGGTTGCTGTTCACCAAGTTCTTCACACCTTGGTTCATGGGGCTGACTTTGCCTCGGGTTTTAATCTCAGGAATTCACATCGAGAGCTTGTCACCTCAATATGTCCTGAAATAGGCTAATAACCAACCTTTTGGGGTTTACATAGGTTTGTATCAGTGTTAAGCCACTCTGAGATTAGCTCCACTGTGGCTGTATCAAGCCGTGCCTTCAGCTTTACAGATCTTTGCAGTCGAGCCTTGGATAGCTTCAGCCTAACCATAACCGC